ATTTTCTTCCTTCCTAGCACAGCAGAAAGAAAGTTTTTCATTTGGAATATGGACTCCTGCTGTAACTGAGAGCAGGAGCACCCTTCAGAGCACCGTTTGCTGGGGAGCCACTAGCTGCTTTGTATCCTTGTGTGCTTTTATTTGCTTTAGATTTTTGCTCCATGCAGTTTTCTTCAGAGAAGGCTCAAGAGGCACAATGAGAATGGGATCAACAAAATGATTTAACTGCACAGAGTGAAACTGCTCCTTCGAGATCCCCTCTGACCTGACCCTGTAAAGACAATTTCTTCCCAGAAGCCTAAAAGCTGCCACTGCTCCTCTTGCCACAGCTGTCACCAGGGGTCCAACTCTTCCCTCTGCAGCATCTTCCAGGAAGGAAGCCTCTGAGGCAACCTAACATTGGATGGCACTGAAAAGTGGTGATAAATGTCCTTTTGACAAGACGGTACCCGTTTGGATATGCTGCTTTAAGGTTTAGCACAAGATTTTTGCTTATTTAGATTAAACAGAAAAACAAGAGACCTCTGAGGAGATCTGCATGGACATAATATGGTTCTTTGGAATTAAAAGACCTGGAATGCAGCAAGAAACACTCGTGGTGAATTTAATCTCTACACTGGAGCAAACTGCATTTAATCCCATAGGTTATTAACCACACACACATTACCTGAGCTATCGAAATGTGACTTTTCTACAATCGCATTTTAAACCCTGCCCCTGCGATATTTTTCGCCCTGTGTCCTTACCTTGAAGTGCACCCAAAGCTTTTCATGCTGTTCTGCTGCTGTGGGCTGGAAAAATGTCCCCTCTGCAGAGCAGCTCCGATGCTTCTTCCCTTTTATGGGCTTCTTGGGCTCTCGGTGTGGAGCTGAGCCTGCATCTCCCACCCCATCTCCTCTATAAATGTCCAGGTGAGGACAAAGGGAGTGGCCACGTGTTCCCGGGTGCTGGGTGGAAGGCAGGAAGCCATAAAAAGGTCTTTCTTAGGGGGCAGGTTTTACAAGGGGTTTTCAGGGAACCTGGGGGACAGCAGGACCCTTGGCAGGAAAGGCTCCTTCTCTTGGAGCACGCGTGCATCATTAAGCTGTGGAAGAGGACACCCAAGCACACGAACAAGGAGTGTTCTCGGTTGTCCTCTCGCTCTGCTCGGTGCTGCAGCCAGTGCCTGCTGCACTGGACCTCCAATTCTTGCTTGATGATTTAGGACCAGCTCTTGACCAGACAACGTGGTGGCAAGACAGGAATTCATCCGCTGGAATTCCTCTTCAGTTTAAGAAGCGCCACTGCCTCAGAAATGCCGAGTCACAAGGCATTTAGGCTTCAAATGTTTAATCTCCCAGTCAAAGCCTAATTCTTGTAATGGGAAGCGAGGAACTCAGAAACTTTGCTGTGTTGATAGGAAAACTCCTGCCCTCAAGCCAGGTGAGTGTCATCTTATGGTTTATCACTCCATTTTATGGTTTATGTTTTTTATGTCTATGCTCAAATGACCATATCACATCTCTGGTGTTATTAATGATCATTATAAAGTGCCTTACACAGGAGTCTGAGCTTCCACCAAGGCTCCAGTACACCAGCACTTCACAAACTGGGTCTCGAGGTAGGAATCCCAGCAGGAGAAGGCAGAACCCACAGGAGCTGAGCAGCCTCCAGCTGGGGAGCAGTTCCAGGACACATCCTGCCAGGAACACGTCTTGGGCTCCTGCAGTTCTGCCCACCTGCTGCTTTATCCTGGCCCCATCTCCTGGCACAGAGGGATCCCTGCAAGATGCCAAAGAGGGGAGGCAGGAAGGAAGCTGAACAGGGGCTGAGAGGGGCCTGGGGGCAGCGAGCAGTTTTGCTGTCCTTCATCGTTCATCACCAACGAGGACTCGGCATGACGTGTGGCTCCAGCTCCCTCCATGTACACACACACGGGGCTGCAACCGCCCAGGCCCTAAATACAGCAGGGTAATATGTAGTCATGTCAGATATGGTCAAAATGTGTGTAATTGGGGCAATATAAAGCTTACTCATGTCTCACAGGCTGGCATATGACGTTAAATGGCTGTTTTTCAGTGTTTTACAGCTACCCCGCTGTCATGCAGCCCCATCAGATATGGTCCCGTTCCCTCGCTCCTGCCGCGACCTCACCAGTCCTGGCAGCGTGCCAGCCTGCTGCACCAATGGCCAACATAATAACCTAGGGAAGCTACATGAACGCCCAGGACGGAGAGTGCCCAGGTATACGGCGTTTCCCTCATCTTCAACCAACAGTTTCTTTGCCCCAGGTGCAGCATTTAGCAAGGCACAATGCTGCTTTCCCGAAATCTCTTCATGCAAGGTGACCCGAAGTGTTGCTTTGAGAAGAATTTCCAGGGTTGCTCCCAGTGTAGCAGAAGGGTATCATGTTTAATAGGGTTGTTGCTCCCAATAAATTACACACGTCAGCCATGCGATTTCTTTGTTCGGAAGCTGGCAGTCGGTGAACACAAAAAAGAGGTGTTTTACACTTTTAAAGGTGATTCATTGTTCTTCCCTGGGGTGCCGGGCAAGAGCTGACGCACTCGGGCCTGGCTATCCAGAAAAATGCGGCGCCGTGTGCGATACTCGGCTGCCTTCCAAGCTTGCTTCCGCCGAGGCCGCATGTGGGGAAGAGCTGGCCCAGGTAGCTGGGCTGGGATGGCTCTAGGGCCCGGGCCTACCCGGGGAATGGGAATTCAAGTGCTTCCTCGCTGTGCCATAAACACCCTGCTTCGGGAGCCATCTTGAGGGTTACTCTGAGGAGCGGCACAGACCAATCTAGCCCTTAGTTACAGGAAAACGCAAAGATGGTGCCTGATTAAGAAGGTTAAGGAGCCCCAGTCAGAGAGGAAGAGGCGGGGACCTGAGGTGGAGAGACCGAAGAGCAGGCCCAGGAGAAATAACTGAGGAGAAGCTAGTGGGGAGAAGGTGCTACCAGAGGAGAGAGATACTGGTTAAGGCAACTGGTGGGTGCAATGAGCTCCAAGGGCAGCTGGACTGAGCACAGGGCACGGCTCCAGGAGGATGGCAGTCGGCTATCCTGGGGGTCCTCTGCAGTGAAAGGAGGATTTGGCCTCATGTTTCAGCTGTTTGGAGAAGAGGCCGATGAGGAGGGTCTCACGCAGCCTCCTCCTGGGCCGCAGGGTTTCATAACACAAACCCAAAGGGTTGGTGACTTCACATCAAACTAGTTAAGACTGAATGAGGTCTGAATGGATGTGTGTGTGTGTGTGTGTGTGTGTGAAAGCACTAGGCGAAACAAGAGAGCCTGGGTTAAACAATGGCCTGACTTGGTAACCAGGGATGTGATTGACAGTAATAACACCGGTAAACATTGGAGAATGAAAGGTTTACATCATGACCCAAAGACCTAAGGTTTTATAGGGCCACAGCAAAGATGATTCATTAGCAGAAGATGGGCATGCAGGGAGGCAACAAGGCTACACCTAACTGTGCAAGCCTCCTCCCTGGCATCCCGAAAAGGAGATGGTTGTAGCCAAAAAAAGAATAGATACTTCCGCTGAGGAGCTAAGTGCTGAGAATTTGGGAGGAAGAAGAAAACAAGATGTTGTGTCAAAAGGATTGTGGCAATAATGAACCTGATACTTTAAGGGGTATAAAAGACCTGCCCAAATAACTCTTGTCCTACATGTTGCTTATGGCTGACCTTGGCCAGACTACGTGACCACACATGCCATGTGACACACGTGATTGTGAGCGTGTGTGTGTGAGAGGGCGTGAAAAAAATCCTATGAAAGAACGAGCAGAAACAAAACGAGTTTTCTTTATAAATAAAATCAACCCCACCCCTTCCGTTAGACCTCGCAGTGACTTGGGATACAACGCTTTCCTACAACATGAGCCTCCTTGTCTTCCCTCTCGCAGTCCTGCCAGAGTGAGTCACTTCTCTTCATTCATGTTCTGCAAGTGAGGAATCTGCGGAACACTGGACAAGCCGTTCTTCCATTCCTGAATTCCCACATGCATAGCTGAGAGGGAGCTGCAAGGCAGTGCTGTAGGGAAGGGTCTTTCCCAACCTGCATGCCTGCACTTGGGTGCTGGATGTGGGGTAGGGTTGATGCCCACAGCCTGGAGGGGACATCCCTAAGGGGACACAACCTGCTAGCTAGCTTGGGCTAGGCTATCCGTCCCTCAGAGTGAAGGACACTGGGCACGCACACGTGGCTGAACTCCTAGCTCTCTAGGTTCCTCCAAAAGTCCTAGAATTATTGTTTTCTAAATGGCAGTTTTGCTCTTTTTTCGAAAGAGTCCATCACATTATTGGGAACATATTGTCAGCATGCACAGCACTACCATTCATGATTGGATATGCCTTTCTAAAATAGGAGAAAGTAGAGGACTGGCATGTCACAACAGTAGCATTTTGTTCCTCTACACTCTGTCACTTGCTCCGAGTGGTTTATAGTGCTGCTGGCTCTCATGTCATCAAAAGGAAATGAGGCTTTATTACCTCCCACAGTAGCAGGAGAGACGAGGTGTTTGTGCTCGGCAGCACAACCGATGAGGAAGAGCAACCTCTTTACTGGAGCTGGTGGCTGCAAGTGGCAGGGCAGCTCATCAGTGCTACTGCTCTTCTCATTAAGCATCGGTCAGGTTCTTCTCTTCAGTCCCCGATGCTTCATTTGCAGGCGCTGAGTGAGGAAATGCCTCCTCTGATTGGCATTGCTTTACCAGTAAATCAGAGCCAACCATCAAGGGGAAAGAGAAGGGGAATATCCACACAATTACCATGAACACCAACAGGACATACTACATGTCTAAACTGTGTTTCTTTAGCTGATGCTCTAGGGGAAAAAAAAAAAAAAAAAAGTGGCCCTGAGCACTAGATTTGTGCTGGCCTGGCCATTAGCGGTACCTGCTAGGCAGCTGCGAGACAGGATGGTGCTGCCTGTAGAAGAGGCTTTGGCTCTGGGTGCTCCCCAAGAGTTACAGAGCCCCAGAATGGCCGAGGCTGGCAGGGACCTCTGGAGATCATCCAATGCAACCCCCTGCTCCAGCAGGGACACCCAGAGCACGGGGCACACGTGGCATCCGGGCGGGTTGTGAAGAACCAGAGGGTACCACGGGCAGGGGCAACACGCTGCGGGGTTGTTGTGGCCTGGTGGTGCCCCCTCCAACCACCCCGTGATTGCTGGACCGACCAAGACCCCTCAGACCCACAGCCAACAGGTGCCCGGTCCGCCGAGCACCGGATTATCTGTTGGTTGGCAAACTGTTGTTGACTGAGGTCATAAAGCTGCTATTGCAACTGCTGTTTGCAGTGTTTGATTTGGAGAATGACCTAAGCACATCAGCAGGGACGTCCCTGGTGCCAGCTGCCAGGGAGAGCAGGAATTGGCCCTGAGCACGTCTGGTGAGACCACAAAAGCACAAGGAAAGGGGAGGAACAGTCATTATACTGCACACTCGTGACTTGACCACAAGACTTCAATATGTTTTGTGTTACAGTTTTAGCCTTGTTATAGTTGTAGTTGCACCCTGTTCGGTGTTGTGTAACATCTGCTATCTCTAATAAACTCCCATACATGATGAAGTGTTTCTCTTGAACTCAGCATGACTAATCCCGGATCTGAAAAGAATCCTACTTGGTCACCCTCAAAGCCCATCAGAGACAAGGAAAGCGCAGGAGACTGTTTCAGGAGAGAATGGGAAGAGGAGATGCCACTCTGTACAACGGGGCAAATGTTAGCATGTGGCTTGAGATGTTCTGTTAAATCCTTCCTCAGCTGAGGATAGATTCAACCTCCATCTCTCATAAATTCATAAGGGACCACACTGCACAGTGTGACAGAAACACTGTCCACCAGGTCTGCTGAGCCTGGTGCAGTGGAAGGACAAATGTAAGATCAACAGCCATGATGACTGGGCTGTCACCTGGCATGGGAGACCCGAGTTTCAGCCTTCCTCCAAGATCATGTGTGCAGTTCACTAGTGACAAATTCACACATAAACAGCTCTTGAGAGGGTTGGAGACTTCCCAAGTGAAGCAAGACACATCACTATGTGAAAGGAAACCTTGGATAGCCAGGGAGAATAGACTGCTACTTGTATCAGCCAGGCACAATCCTACAAAGCAGAGTCGGGGGGAGCATAAACCTGGACTGTGCAGAAATCACACTGTCCTGCCCAAGAGCTTTGCTTCTCAGTATAGGGCACTGAAGAATCTGTTAGCCAGAGCATTGCAGGATTTCACTCACATCTCCAAGGGAAAAGAAACCCAAATGGCCAAAGAATTTCAGCAAAATGAGATTTCTGCTTTATAGCATTGATTAGCATGTAATTCCTTATGATCAGGATACAACAAATGAAAATGAATTGTTATAGACCACTGAAAACGAAAGCCTGGCTTTAAGTCTTGTGTGTCATTATTACTTTTTAAACTTGGGACCAAAACTCACCTTCATTACAGGTCCACAAAGCAACGTTATGAGGCTTCAAAATGTGAAGAGATCGTTATTTCTAGAAAGAGACGGCTGAAAGGGTGCATTAACATGGTCTTATAACTTAAAAGTTCAAAGATATCCACAGTAACTTGAACAATCAAGATCAAAACTCCTGCTGCAAAAAGTTTCTACCTCACTTCTGACTCTGTTGGGTTTAAACATGTTTGTCCTAAAACAGAGAAGATTTGGGTGCTTAACCACTTTAGGTTAAGGAGCAGAACACATTACCATGGCCAAATATATACCCAGCAGAGCCTGGGCAGCCCTTGCCTTGCACTGCCAGTTCATACATCACGCTGGCTTTGGATTCTGCCCGTTGGTGTAATGATGTGAACGGCACCTGCCAGGTGTGAGAGTTCTCTCAATTACTCCTCAAGGCCCATTACTGCTGTATGTTATCAAGCTCAATTCTTATTGCCTGCCTACTCCCACGCGAGGGAATAGTGCTACAACACAACCTTTGTCATCGAAATTTAAAAGAAAGTTAAGACAAGAATGCAGGAGCTGGAAAGATCTGTCCCTGAAACGAATATGTTAAACTGGGGGAGAATCCTGCTGCAAGGACATATGCATCAGGCTGGATAGACCTGACCTGCTCTGCTCCCAAAACAACACTGATAAAATCCTCTTCAGATCTCTGTGGACTCAGATTTGTATAACTTTTTTTTTGCTGGTAGGTAACATTCACAGTCATAAAAGAACAGCCCTGTTATGCATTTATAGTAATAGGGCAATAGTAGACACCATGGCATTTCAAATGCTAACACAAACAGAAGGCCTGCCTTGGCGTTAGCGAAGCCAAATGCTGTAAAGAAGCCCCAAACACTGCACAGTAGCCAGGGTACTGCTGCTATTAGCCAGCTCTGGCTCCAGTCATGTGCCATAAGGCTCCATATTGCCTTACCTAACTCTCCCAAAGACAGCAGTGAGCAGGAGAGAGGCAAGTAGCTCTAGGTTTGTGATCAGGGACTTCCTGTTGTAATTCTCCTGTTAATAACTGAAAAAGACAACATAAAACCCCCAAAGTCCCTTGTCCCCTCTAAAATAATGCTTGATACTGTCTCTTTTGCATTATGCAGACAGGAAGGGTGAGTATGTAAGAGAAAAGGAAGGAGAGTCCCCTGAATTTACTCTTCTATTTTTCAAACTCAGCTACAATCCCAAATCTAATACCCAAGTCTGCTGGGTATCAATTCTGAGCTGTGAGGCTTTACACTGGCTCTTCTGCCTAAACACTACATAATGTATACATAGTGTAGGACTACAGAGCGTGTCACTAACATGTCATCGTCAGGTCACACGCATGCTATAGCCTGCTCTCTTTTTGCCCTCTTGGATGCAGAGTATATGTAGCAATGAAACCAGAAAGAAAGAGAAACAATAATCAGCAGAGCTTGAGAGTTGTGAAGACTCTTCAAGGGCTCTTCCACTACTCTAAATGGAAGATACTCCAAATGGAAATACTCTAAACCAACTCTAATTATCAGGTTGAGCACTTAAGACTTTAAAAGAAGTCTGTACACTTGGTTTTAGTGCTCAGATGAAATAGAAAACCCGCATAGGCAAAAACATGAATGTGCTTGTTTTCTGAAAGAACAGACATCCCTGAAAATAGGAACCATATTCCTTTGCTTGTTTCCTTACCCTAAGGAAATAAGCCAAGGAGCATTTCATGTGCTTGTTTGATCCATCTTTGGATCACTTTGACTGTGGCCCAAGTGCTGCAGGTTGCAGGGCAGTGAGTGAGAGGTGCAGTCATCACATGCTGGCATCTCCTCCCATCTCAGGAACTGGAAGGCAGCGTCTTATACGGATTGAGAATCCCTTTGGGGTCTAGCATGGCTTTGAAACGCTGCATTAGCAGGATTGCTTCCTTGGGTTTGCTATACTGAATGAAGCACTTTTTCTTGAAACCCAAGCCGTGCTCTGCACTAATGCTGCCATTGCATCGTGCAGTCCATTCGTACACAAATGGCTCAATGGCATCCAGCAGGGAATGGCTGTAGGAATCCGCTGTGATGTTCAAGTGCAAGTTTCCATCTCCTGGAAGAAAACACACAGAGTTTCTCTCACTGACTTGTCTCTGCAGTCGAGATTCATTACTGGCCCAGCCATGCCCTCAAACAAAGGGGCCTTTGTTAGGCTTCAGGCTGCGTGTGGAAGGATCATAAACTGTCCCACAAACACCAGACTGCTCCTGTGCACATAAAAATCAAAAAGTATCTTTGCTTCTGCATTTGTTTGGTATATCCTTTGAGGAAGTTCTTGAAATTAAGTAACATTCAAATTCCTTTTGTGATTTTAAACTCAAACAACTGTGTTGCCTTTTTTTTTTTTCTGCACTGACATGGCATGCTAAGAATCCCCCAACAGTATTTCATAATGATCATTAAATTTTAACAGAGCTCTGCATTACTTCTTTATACTGGTGCAATGTTCTACATGCACTTCAGCACCGGGACAACAGAAACAAAGCAGAGCTTTATTTTCCTCCTTTTGCTGCTTGTGCACACAACAGTCTTTGATTAACCACATAGTTATTGGGCATTTGGAAGACAAAACACACAAAGATTAAGCTGAAGAGTGTTAGATTTTTATTAGCAGAAAAGTGCTGCTAAACAACCCATTTACCTGTCCCATTTACCTGAAGCATGTAAAATCAAATTAGCTTCAAAGTACACTGGCAAGATGTGCAAGTCTTTCACTGAATTATTTGTATCACTTTCTTTTAGGTTAATGGCTCAGACATAATTGATTCCAAAGACAACTACTCACTTTAGACAACAAAGTGCTTAACCAAACCTGTCTATATACATTAATCAAATTTATGGACAATTAAGCAACCTACAGACTTGACTGGGAAATAAAGAGCAAAAAGATACTAATGACCATTTCAATTACTGACTGACTAGTAGTTAGGCCGGATAATCACACTTGTCTCACATATATGAAATACTGTCAGAAAGCAATGAAATCCAAAACATAAAGATCCTTAAGCATTCTCCCCTTTTAACTAATTTGTTAGTTGCCAGCTAACAAATGCAATTTAGTGCATGTCCCTCAGAAATCTCAAAAAACCTCCAAAGCAACTGGGAGTTGTATGGTAAGTACGGCTGGACTGCAAGGAAGAAGAAATTAGCTCCTTTGCAAGCACCTGCACTTACCCAGATGGCCGTAGCCCACCACGTTTTTGGCACACCGGCCCAGCCGAGCCCTGGTGTCAGTCACGAGGTCGTAGAGCTTCCCCACGGGCAGCGAGATGTCGTATTTGTAAACGTAACCGTCGTGAGTGAGGGCCTCCGTGATCCTCTCCCGCAGGCTCCAGAGCTTCTGAGCGATTGAACACAAAAGAAATACAAATGAAACAAGTAGTTCTCAGCAAAAGAGTCGTGATTCTTGGTGTGTAACACCAGTGCTGACACCCCTTGGCGTCCTGAAAGATTGTAATAACATTTGTTGAGCTACGGGGAAGCGCTACACCACCTCTCTAAGCTTGACAGTATCCGAGAGAGAAAGAGCTCGCGTCCTGCACGTGGGCAGATGCTGTCTCCAAAACAGATTTGAGTTTCCTAAGAAGCCTCCTCTATCAAACAACGTGAGTGCTTAAAATGAACTATTTAATTCCCTGAGACTGCAGTCTTCTGGCTTTGACACCAAATATCAAACAAATACCAATTTCCTAATTAAAACTACAGATCCGAACAGAAAATCATTCCAAATGGATTTGAGTAGGGGGAAAGGGTGACTTGCCTTTATTTTCTTTTCATCTGTTGCCACAGTTCCATCAGTGACCAAACCAGAAGTCATAGCTCGTTCTAGGAAGTTGTTCAGTTTTTCCTCATCGTGGGTGGAATTGGAGCCTGAGGTTTCGATTAAAACATAAAAAGGGCTCCCTGAAACCGAAGGACAACAAAATGAGCAGGAACTCGGTGGTAAAAGCACAGGAATTTAGTACAGGCTTGGGAGCTTTTCCCAAGCTTGGCACAATTAAGTGGGGGGCTCTGCTGTCCAGATTTCTGGTGCTGAAAAAGTGCCGAGCTCGAGTCAAAATCTTTTCTGTGTAGGTCACGTACAAATTCTCTCCTCTACTTAACCATTGCTCTTTAAAAATACATTATTTTTGTGGATGGGAACTCGTAGAAGTAAAGAAAACATGTCATTGAAAGCTTCTATCAGATGCCTTTGGGACAGAACGCTGGGTACAAAAATCAGGAGGCATGCACAAATACTCATGACTTATTTGTATAAATCTAGGTTAAAACCCCTCCTGAAACACAGTGCCTCTTTCTACAGCAGAAAATATGTTTTCTGTGCCTTTCACCCAGACAGAATGTATCAGTTTTGGTACCTGTCACTGGCTTGGAAAGTTTAAGGTGTTGCTCCACCAGTTCCATGCACTTATCATCCATAAACTCAAATGCAGATAGGACCTCTCCCAGCATGGCTCTGCAGGTTGTAAACGTGTTCAGAACTTGAGTGAAACTCTGGCACCCTTGAGACAGACCACAAAAAAAGACTCAGGGACAAAAAACCACCACCCTTCTCCTCTCTAACAGATGCAAATGATTAGCCTATATGGGTTTAAATCCACATTTCCTGTGATGGTTTGGTTTCAGTTGGTTTTGAATGTATCCGAGCAGAACGGCAGGAGCACACAGCAATAATTTTTTGTTGTGGCAAAATCTCTAAGTTTGTCCCAAAAAGTCTGTCCCATGCCCAGTTCTCAGCACAGGCAAGAAAACAACCCAAAGGAGCTTGGATGGCATAGTAAGGGTCTAGACTAGGTCTAGAAATTAGGAAAAAGCTAGAGAAGTCTCACTGGAGGTTCCTCAAAAAATAAAATAAAATAAAATAAAATAAAATAAAATCTTTACTAAAAAGCCTTAGTAGGGCTTCTTTGACATCTCTTAAGCAGTTGCACTGCAGCCATTCCTAGCCAGGTACCTCCTTGATCCAGACTCCGACCTGTAGACTTGACTTTCCAGCCCTGCCTGGTCATTGTGGTCTTGCCTGGTGGTCACTGGATCTACTCACTTGGCAATCTCCAATTTCAGGAATGAAATTATTAATAGCAGCTCACATGGTGGCCTCTTCTCTTGCTATAGACCCCATATTGGCTCCTGTTTTCCTGACAGTGCCAACATACTTGCTACTGGGTACCGGCACACGGCCAAGGCGCCCACCTAGGAACGCCAGATTCACAGCCCTGGGTTTCTGAGGACAAAGTATGGAGACAGCAGTGATAACTCCCAAGGTGCCCTCAGATCCAATAAAAAGCTGCTTCAAATCATAGCCCGTGTTGTCCTTGCGCAGAGAGGCCAAGCAGTCCAGGACCGAGCCATCAGCCAGCACCTGCAGGAAAACAAGGACACAGAGTTCACCCAGCTGTCCTCACCCATCACTCCGGACAAGATCAACTGGTCTTTGAAGCCCTGTCATCATTCAGAGGAAACAAAGAGCATGTTTGAAAGAGTGAACGTAGTTAACTGCGGTGAAGCCAGTCCTCCACCACCTGAGCCCTTAAAAATCAAGACCGAACCTCTCTAACGTGTTGTTATTAGAGACCACTTATAAGCTAAAGGGACTAAATTCCCCTTTGGAGCCTACACCATTCTAAGACAAAGCCAATAGGCAAGCAAACCTGAAACAGGCTTAGCTGTTAAATGCTGAGTATTTACCAAATGCATCTGGACAGGTCTGAAATTCTGACTGAGAAGCCACTGAGAGGACTGTAGGCTGGATTTTGCTTAGTCGAGCATTGCAGAGGTCCCCTGCTCCACAGGGGAAGCAACATCACCCAGGCCATGTGTGATTACCAACTCTCCCCCCATTCTTCTCGTTTGTCTGAGTAAGAGAACCACCTAATATCATTTATATCCGTAAGGAATACCGTATGGAAACTGTGATATAACTAAAAGAGGCCATATTTAGGAAGACACTTGCTGACACACCTCAAAAGAGCTAAGCAATAAACAATTTAAAGCGGGACCCTGCAGAGGGTCTTGCCTGCATAACGGAGAGCTGAAGGCTAGAACAGGGAAAACAGGTAACAGGGAGATGTTTAGACACAAACTGGACCTGTGAGGTATTGCCTTACCACTTCCAGCCCCAGCACTGTCCCTCGCAGAGAGCCATATCTCAAGAGCCGCAAGCCTCCGGCGTTGGTGGCCACATTGCCACCAATGTGGCAGCTGCCTTTTGCTCCCAGGTCGAGCGGCATGACAAAGCCCTTCTCCTCCACGTACTGGTTGAGGTTCTCCAAGACGCAGCCAGCTTGGCACACGAGGATTCCTGAAACATAAACTTATGATGTAACTTGAAGCTCCAAAAGAAGGTGCCTCCTGAAGAATCGGGAATAGTACAAGCATTTGCAACCACCTGCTCTTCCTCCAGAACTTTCCAGGGTTCAATTTAAACCCCGAAGAACTCTGTGCATGCCCTAGGGATTTGTTTGGTTCTTCCTCAAGTCTATGGGAGGTTGGCCACTGACTTAACATCTGGTCATGTAGAGCCCTGGACATGTAAAACACTGACTAAGCAGATTTCAGCCTGTATTGCTTCCTCTCTCAATGTTTTAAGGTCCAAAATACTCAAACCTCGTGGCTTCTCCCTTTCCAAATTCAAACAATCTATAAACTTTCCCCATCCCTCTCTTCCTCCGTCAGCACAGTTATCATGTGCCTCCTTCAACATTGTCATTCAAGGTGTTGGTTTCTCTTTTGGATTTGTAAAAGAAGAGAATGTACAAGAGGCATTTTTCTTTTCTTCTTTCTTCCTCTTGCTGCCACCAAACAGACTGCAAGAGCCGGTGCTGTTGCAGCCCACACCGGCAATAGAAACGTGGATTTAGGGCTGAACCTCACTCGTGACACAGCTGCTGGCTCCCAGACGGGGAGCGTCGCGGCGAGAGCCTTCTCCGAGTGAACAGCACATCTGTGGCACTTACCAGACACCTCGTCAAAGCTGATGACCTGGCTCATGAGAACCGTGGAGAGGATGATCTCGTCGAAGACGGGCACGCTGCCCCCAACAAGGCCTGTGTTACCCCCTTGTGGGTTTACAGCCAAGTTCCTCTCGTAGCAGTACCTGGACGGGAAAAGGTTTCCCAAAGTATGATAGTTCTCGGGATCGCTCTCCAGTCTATCAGAAGAGTTTCACCACTCTTGCATATTGCAGCTCTACCATGTGATTTATGCCTGAAAAAATCACAGCTTACTCCATTTATAAAGAAGCACAGCTTGACTTCTTCCATGGGGACTGGCAGGTTTGCAGTCATTTGAGATGTTAGGCTCCTCCCCGGTCCCTCTTCAAGACATTACTGCCCCACACTGACAAAGTATGTGCATCTATGCCCTAACTGCTCCGGCTGTCACCTTGCTGCATCAGTGTAAGGTGCCATCAAGCTGTCCAATTCCAGCACTCGCGAGTCCTTCAACTCAGTCACTCCCACTGAGCACTGGTACAGCACCTAATAGTTACAGCTTAGTACAGCAGAACAGTCTTCAGTGCTAAAACTGCTCTCTCATTTCTCCCTCTGCCTCACGTCTTTCCCCCCCTCTAAGTATTCTTGAGGACTTTTAAGTCTTCTGATCAAAGCCACTAATGTGAGCTTGGCAACTCTACTGCCGTCCACGCAGCCTTTGGTAAAGCAAGTGACGGTTCAGCCTTTGCTCCTGCCTCACACCCTGCCTGGGAGATACAAGGTGCAGGTTCAAGTCCCCTTTTGCATTGAAAAGCGTCAGCAGCTTTAGCAGTTTCTCATGAAAACTGGGCAGGCGCTCGTTTTGCTTCTTAGCCAACATCCTCCTATCAAACAGGGGATAAATCTACCAGCCAATGTCAACCACGATCGCGGCACCCTGGACGCCAACTCGGAGAGATTTGATTTCTGTGGTTACAAGTTAGATGGACGATTGTTCACCCCAATGGCAGGATTGGAAAGGAAGGTGCGTGTTACCTGAGGATCTGGGATACTTCTGCTGCCGTCTGCGGCTTCAACAACAGCTTACTGGAGCCTGCAAGGAAAGCGAGCGACTCCTCAAGGCGCGTGATCCGCCTGTTAGCAGAGGCCCTGCTAACCGGGGGGCCGCGCTCCCTTACCGCGGGCCGACCGGAGCCAGTCCACGTTGAAGGGCTCCAGCTCGCCCGCGTTCGTGACGACGCGGCCGGGCAGGAGGCGCTCGAAGAAGGCGACGTCGCCGCGGGACACGCGCGAGAAGGGCAGGCGCCGCACGCCGTAGCGCTCGCTG